CATTTTAAACAGACACAGAATCAAGATTTCGATGAGTGTGTGCTTGCGTTTTTTGAAACAACACTACTTACTGGATACTTCTGAACTGCTGTTTTCATTTCAATCTTTACCATCAACCAAGAGCAACCTTCTGGTTCATGACTCAAACCCAAGTGTCATGGGTCTCTACAAAGGCACTTAGTTCCCACCCCAGAAGTCCAAACTCAATCTTTTCCATCAACCAAGAGCAACCTTCTGGTTCATGACTCAAACCCAAGTGTCATGGGGCTCTACAGAGGCACTTAGTTCCAATCCCAAAAGTCCAAACTCAATACATTCAGTCAACAGCACAGAACTCTTAAGATACAACAGGATTTTGTAGCCAGAAATTGGTCATTTTGGTCGAGTTTATTTAACCGCTTCCCAGCTTGAGTTTTTGCAGACAGAATTTTCTAGGCATTCATATGACATTCTTGAACTTTGAGACTTCTAATTAAAGTATTGATTTCAAAAGGTGGAGGTGCCCCTGAAAGAGATATTCAGGCTGTTGGGCAGATGAGCAGCCTTTCAGCCAGAGGAGGCAGAAACCCTTGCACTGTCTCTACTGAATGGAAGAGGCACACGGTCATCACACAGCCTGGGAAAAGTGAGAAGGAGGCTACCACCGTTCTTCCCTAGAAGTAGGTGACTGTGCTAGACTACAACCCCCTTGAAAAAGCCTGTATAAATAGGGATTTCAAGAATGGTCCTTATTTGTCCTTAACTGTTGCTGTTAAAACGTAATCTGACCCACAAGCTATCCAACAAGAGGTAGTAATTTGCCTGAAAACTACAATTCGCATATTTGTATTTAACAGGGCAACTGATCAATACTGGTAACAGTTGGAACTGTCAAGTTATTAGGACTCTGATCTGCTAGGATCCATACCCTGACAGGGTTTATTGCTACAAAACTGTTTAGCATTTCACAACACAGCAGAACCAATCAACATGGAATTGTGCATGTGCTTTCTAGTGACAGATTCAAAATACAAGTGCGTGGGATTTTCTTTCCCTGAGCGAAGAGTTATCAGTGTTCAATTGAGCAAAATGTTTAACAGCTGAGCACTAAATGGCCTGAATGCTGCCATCTCTTGGAAACATCCTAATGAAAGTAACTGAGAAATTGGGTTTGTTTTGTTTTGTTTTTTAAAAATCAGCTCTAGAGCTAAGACCAAAGCAAACCATATTCTTTGTCTCCTCAGACTTTCTTCCAAGACTTTGATTTGGCATTCACTTTTTATTGTGAGTGCCTAGACTGTTTTTCCTGCATCAGTTCTTTCAAATACCACAAGGAAATCCTTGGGCAAATACAATCACATAAGGGACATTAGCCCATATTAAACACGCTGCCTCAATTAAAATAAAATCATTAATGGAGACAAAACCCTTTGGTTAGTATGCACTTCATTATGCGTTTCGCTATTTCAAGAATTCAAAAAGCATTCCTGGGGCAGATACCAAGAGCTGACCAATGACATTACAAGGTTAATAGCCCCGACCTAATCATACTAGAAATATTCAAGTTTCAAAGAGAGTCTATTGGAATCTGCATTTTATTAAACTGCTGAACAGTGCAGAAAGATGGCATTACACACTAAACTTATGCTTTATGGGATTAAAATGTTAGGATCAGAGACTCCATAGAATAGAGTAGGCTCCAAAATGAAATGTTGCATAAGCTAGTGTTAGTGGAATGATCCTCAAAGCCCTTAGGTGCAGATTAGCCTATACAACTTTGTCCTTTTCAATCCTTTGTTTTCTTTCAGGCCACCTTTCGACCCTGAAACTGCTATAATTGCAGCTCTTCAGGACAAAGTGAAGTGATATGTTGCTGATATGCTTCTTAGGTTGCTATGTTACAGTGATTATCTAATTAGGTACCTGCCTGAAGTGAATAATAATGGCAGCATTTAAACAAATCGATAAAATACATCCAATCAGTTCTTGGCAGGCCTTTATACCAGTTTTTATATATACTGGCTTAGAGAATAACCATTCAACTTTATGCTTGGGCAGCTCCATATAGGACTTGTATACCGTAAATGCTGACATATAAGACAATCTTTTAAGTGAGCCCATTTAATTGGTCTGGAAAGCAAGTTCCACTCTCTGAAAGTGTTGATAAAATAGAAGCTAATATAATAAAACATTAATGCTGTTTTTGCATCTTCTCTGAAAGCAAACATAGAGGTACAAAAGGAGAAGAAAGAGGGCAACTCTGCTAACGCAACAATAAAATCATTTTCTAGATGTTGCAGGTTAAACTTACTTCAAATAAAGAGATTGTAAGGTTAATGCATGAGCAAAGTTTGCCTAGAACATTCTGCCAAGTTTTTAAACAAATAAAGATGTACATCCTAGTAAACATTGATTCAGAGTTTCACGATGAATTACAAAATAAAATGAATAGGATCAACAGAAGTGTAACGTCGGATACATGTAATATATCAAAAGCAGAAAATAAAAAGCTGTTTGAATGCACAACAACTCACAAGCCAGATTGTCATTTCCTAGAGGTCGGAGACCATAAAAGTTGGTAAAAGGCACATTCTTGAAAAAAGACACCATATGTAGTTCTAGGAGTCTCTCCAGTTCCAGAAACACCCCTAGAACTACATTCCCAATTCTTCTAGGAACACAACCACATCCAGTTCAGAAAAAAAACCTAGGATATCTCCTTATTGCTATCATTTTTCTTCTTGAGGTAGATTGATAAGACCACCACTTCTCTCTCTCTCTCTCTCTCTCTCTCTCTCTCTCACACACACACACACACACACACACACACGAGACTTGCTATATTAGAGCCTAAACTAAAGTTTGGCATCATAGTAGGCTGTAAGAAAAGTGATTCTGCTAATTGCAGCCACTGCCCTGGGGTCAGAATGTCTTAGGCAATCCCATCCCATGATCTCATCTTAGCTGGAGATTGTCATGGGAATGGCATGTTATAGCTATACTGGGTTAAATAGACTGGATGTTTAAATCAGAATATTCCCCTCCTTCACTACTGAACATTTGTGTCAATTCTATTTAAGTTTCTGAAAAGGTAGATTTAATGTAGATAAATGTAGAACATTTCTAAGTGCAGTACAACCTGTCTCATGATTTGTGTGCAAGATGTAAAATTCATTAATTTACATTGTCTATGCTTAATTGATCACAGTGCTAAATGATGACTCCCTTCATATTCACCCCCATGACTTTGACGTTGACTTATTGTTCATTTCTTTAGCTAAAGCTGGGACATTTGAGATTTTCACAGGACTGAAGAAAAATAGATGCAAACGCTTGACGGTGCCAGGAGATAAAATAATTGTGCATGAAATTTAACTTATTCAACATTAAAATACAATGAGAACAAACGACTCGACATATTAATTCTATGTAGAACGGTATAATGGCTGAAATTGAAGGAAGTGTGGTTTCTGAACCACACTAACATATGCCTAGACGTACCTTTATTAATGTGAGTGATATACGGCTCTTTCTGGCCTCAGCTTAAGTTATAATAGCAGCTTTATGTTGGCCACTGCTTCACTAAGTGGTAAGTTCACAAGAGCGTATTTTATTGCAGCCGAAAACTCGGGACATTTTGATTGATCAGCTTAGATCTAAAGATGAACCCCCTAAAGTTCAGGTGTCTATGTCCCAGAAATAATTTTCAAAAGGGGAGGGGGAATTAAAGTGACCATGTGACTGGCTGGCTGAAACATAGCATGTGTCTGAAGTTCCATGAGACCAGGAGTCACTCCAAATTACCTCTGTATATACAATGCATGCAGGCAAGATTTATGACAGTGAAGGTAACCCAACAGCCCTTGATCACATATGTGAGACAGGGCACATCCCTCTTATCTTTCTGCAAAACTCCAGTGGGCCAGATGAGCCAGCTTTGTATCAGATAGCAAAGTGGCCATTGCTTTTTCCTTCCGTTGCCTTTTCACCTGGAATAAGCCGAGTCGGTACTCCGACAACGAAACAAGCCTGCCAGCAACACAGTCACACAAACCATATAAAATGCATACTCCCTTGATTACTGTCCCTCATCGCAGTGGTGAATGCCTCTTTGCTGGAGGAAATAGTCCCAGCTGCCTTGAAAGAGGCAGTGGTTCTTAAGAAGTCCTCCCTGGAACCTGAGCTACCATCAAATTGCCAATATCCCATTCCTGGGCAAGGTGTTTGAGAGGGTGGTGACGGCACAGCTTCAAGTGTACTAGGATGGAGCCAATTATGTGGATCCATTACAATCTGGTTTCAGTACTGCATTTCAGCTGTGCAATTCTCTCTCCTTGGAAGCACAGATGGCCACACTGCCTACTAAGAACTCATCTCTTCCCCAAGCTTTTGTAGGAGCTGGCTGAGTCTGCTCTGCATAGTAAAGGTAAAGGTAAAGGTAAAGGTACCCGTGCCCGTACGGGCCAGTCGTGTCCGACTCTGGGGTTGCGCGCCCATCTCGCTTAAGAGGCCGGGGGCCAGCGCTGTCCGGAGACACTTCCGGGTCACGTGGCCAGCGTGACGAAGCTGCATCTGGCGAGCCAGCGCAGGACACGGAACGCCGTTTACCTTCCCACTGGTAAGCGGTCCCTATTTATCTACTTGCACCCGGGGGTGCTTTCGAACTGCTAGGTTGGCAGGCGCTGGGACCGAACGACGGGAGCGCACCCCGCCGCGGGGATTCGAACCGCCGACCATGCGATTGGCAAGCCCTAGGCGCTGAGGTTTTACCCACAGCGCCACCCGCGTCCCAACTGCTCTGCATAGTACACTATGTATTATTATAGTGCTACTAGTTTTACCAGCTGCATTGTTTCCGTGTGGTTTTTTTTGTTTTGTTATGTTTTTTATTGCTGCTGTAAACCACGTTTGCGGTGAAAGGCAATCTATAAATTCAATAAATAAAATAGTTTCATCTGAAACAGTTTCAAGGAAGACGTCTGCTTATTTCTTTTCCTGAAAACAAAGGCTACTTCACTTACTTGAAAGTCTCTTTCCTCTAAGATCTCCTTCTTCCATCTGACAAGGAAGGCAGCACACACATATAAATGGAAGTGAGAAAATCCCTCTGGTTCAGACTGAGAAAGAGAGAAAGAGAATTTATGCATAACCAGACAATAACTGCAGTTTATTCATTATTATATTCTGTCATTTTTCTAGTTACTCCAAAGTTAATTATCTCCAGGAGGTAAAATTGTTGCTGATTTTTATGATTGACTTATTAAATCAAACTCCAAAATCAGATCCCAAATAATTTTATCTTTATTGCAGGTGGGGAATTGCTCACCAGGAACCAACACTATTTCAGAGTACTCTATCCAATTATATAAAAAGCATGCTATATCAATTAAGCTTTGCAGTAAGCATCAAGTAAAGATTTCTGGTGTCAGTCTTTGTTTTGAAAACTGCTTTAATTGTGCCAGTGAACCATCTTTTGTTGAGAGGAATAGACAGTGGAGTTTTAATCCTGTTTATTCTCCTTGACTTCTTGATTGTCTTTGTCACCATTTAGAATAGTAACATTATACACTGCCTGCCAAAACTGAGAATATGAGCATCACACTGTGATGCTTCCATTCCTACCTGTCAGAAAGGAAGAAAGTGCTTGCCCCTTGAGACCCAGCTTGTGGGATACCACAGAGATAAATCTTATTTCCCAAACTATTTAACATCAACATGAAGCTGAGATCATTAGAGCTTCTGAAGTTGAATGTCCTCAATACAATACCGTTATATCATGAGAAATCCAGGTAATTACAAGCCAGTTGGCCTAGATTTTTTTCCAGGTAAATTGGTGGAAACTATTATTACAGGTAACACATTATTAAGCATATAGAAGAAAAAGTCTTGCTGAGGAAGAATCAGCATTGCTTCTGCAAAGTTAAATCCTCTGTCACAAGTATTTGACATCTTTGAGTATGTCATGATGTACTTGGACTTGCACAACGCTTTCGACAAAGTCCCTCCATCAAAGGTTTGAGTAAACTTAGCAGATACAGGATAAGAAATTGGGTTCTCCTATGGATTATTTCTAGATAAACAGGAAATAGGGGGTAGAAGCAAACAGACACTACTCACAATGGAAGTAAGCAGTGAGATTCCCAATGTTATTTAAAGTGTTCATAAATAATGAGGAGACTGGGATGAGCAGTGAAATTCTGGCATTTAAACTTGAGAAACATGGAATACCCTGACTTCACATTCACTGGTGAGGTCTGAACTGATGGTGACTAAGCAAGAAAATCTGGAGGTCATGGTGGATAGTTCAATTAAAACTGCCATGAAAAGGGCGAATTGCAATTGGGGACTATTATTAGTATGCCACTGAATGCCAATAGCTGGAGAATAATAGCAGAAGAGTGCTATTACTCTTCAAGCCCCATTTGTGGACTTCACTGTGGACATTGTGGACTTCTGACCCAAGTGAGCTCTAATGTTCTCAAATGGAGGTTGGGGGGGGGGGGTATAAGCAGTTTCCAGTCTAGGTCCAAGACGAACTAAACAAAGTCAGAGAAGAAACTGAGCATGAAGTTCACCAGAACCTTCAAATAATCTTTACCAAAAGTGAATACTGCTGTTATACAAGCTACATCCAACGGCTCTTTCAAAATAATTGTAAAACATGCCATTTGCTCCTGATATTTTCCCTTTCCACATTGCGTTCCAATACTGTTTCCTAGGCTCTTTTAAATCAAATCAAATGGGCTTAAGTATTCAATTCATTAAAGGAAAAATGCATATTCCCTTTAGATTTAAGAATTCATCATGGTTCAGAGATAAAACTAGGCTACAAAGTATTTCAAACGGATAGTCTTGGACAGTTTTGGAAATTGAGCAAAACACCTAATGCATAATTGCCTTTCCCAGCACCTGCTACCTATTATAACTTTCCATTTGCAGCCCTTGAAGTTATGACTGGTTTCATCTTTAAATGTATAAAACGGCGGGCCAATAGCTAAAAGCTATTTTTTGAAAAAAATAAAAAATATCAAATATAAACAATGACCTTGATTTAAATATTTTAGCAAAAGATCTTAAGACAGATGTACAGCCTTCCAGAAGACTTATTCTGAACATATTAGGCATGACTCGGAGCGCATCACCACAGAGGCATCTGTCATCATCAATAAAAATCATTTAGAAGGTTAGCATCACAAATATTACATTGCCTTGCAAAAAGTTTATCGCTTCTGTGGATGAAATCGAAGCCATTATTTCAGACTTGGCCCACAAAAATCTCATGAATTAATCAGGGGATGGACGTAGACCAGTGGGAAAGTTAAAGAAGTAAAGCAGAACATGTTCTTGGTAACAATGCACCCCAACAGTTGAAAAAGAAATTGCTTTTATCTATAGAATACTGCTTAATTGGTGTTGTTGTTGTTGTTTAGTCATTTAGTCGTGTCCGACTCTTCGTTACCCCATGGACCAGAGCACGCCAGGCACTCCTGTCTTCCACTGCCTCCCGCAGTTTGGTCAAACTCATGCTGGTAGCTTCGAGAACACTGTCCAACCATCTCATCCTCTGTCGTCCTCCTCTCCTTGTGCCCTCCATCTTTCCCAACATCAGGGTCTTTTCCAGGGAGTATTGGAGCCTCAGCTTCAGGATCTGTCCTTCCAATGAGCACTCAGGCCTGATTTCCTACAGAATGGATAGGTTTGATCTTCTTGCAGTCCATGGGACTCTCAAGAGTCTCCTCCAGCACCATAATTCAAAAGCATCAATTCTTTGGCGATCAGGCTTCTTTATGGTCCAGCTCTCACTTCCATACATCACTACTAGGACAACCATAGCTTTAACTATATGGACCTTTGTCGGCAAGGTGATGTCTCTACTTTTTAAGATGCTGTCTAGGTTTGTCATTGCTTTTCTCCCAAGAAGCAGGTGTCTTTTACTTTTGTGCTGCTGTCACCATCTGAAGTGATCATGGAGCCCAAGAAAGTAAAATCTCTCACTGCCTCCATTTCCCCCCCTTCTATTTGCCAGGAGGTGATGGGACCAGTGGCCATGATCTTCGTTTTTTTGATGTTGAGCTTCAGACCATATTTTGCGCTCTCCTCTGCAAGTGTATTTCGAAACGGAAATTGTGGGCTGCACATTGCCATGCCATGCAGCGGGTGGGGAAGGGTAGCAAAGTTTAAATTGGCGCCCCAGCCCTTGTGCTGCCTTCCCAAAGCTGGAGCTTTGGGAAGGAGGCACAAGGCTCTGACAGGGTCCTAGCTGGGAAGGTGCTAACTAGGCTTTGAGAAGGAGGCAGGAAGACTTTAGGACCATATCAGAGCCTCCTTCCCAAAGCCCAGTGCCTTGCTTTCGCAGCCTTGGGAAAGCAGTGCAAGGGCTGGGAGAGGTGTCAAATGTTGCCGAGGGCCGCCAAAAAGGCAACAAGGGCCGCACACTGGACCACAATGGAAACTACAGTGATATATATTACTCCCACACACAAAAAATATTTGTTGATATCACAATCCTGGGCACTGTCCTGCCTAATAACAAATGCAGGATGATTAAAAAAAATCAGTTGTCCCGTTCAACCCACAAGTGGCTACTCTTAATGAATTTCCAAACGCTACAACTCTGTACTAACCCAGCTCTGGGAATAAAATGCATGTTCAGCGTCTGGTGGGGCTGTGAGAAAGTCAAAGAGTTTTGGGGGTGTATACATGAAGAATTGGGACGGAGGTGGCGCTGTGGGTTAAACCACAGACCCTAGGACTTGCCAATCAGAAGGTTGGCGGTTCGAATCCCCGCGATGGGGGATGGGCTGGGAGAGGTGTCAAATGCTGCCGAGGGCCGCCAAAAAGGCAACAAGGGCCACACGCTGGGCCACACTGGTTTAAGGGGTCAATTCTTAGCCTTGGAAGGGGTTACAAACTCAACACCATTTTTATATCATTTCTAATAACTTTTAAAGTTGTAACATTTTAGATCTGCAGAATGAATCTTAAAGGTATCAAATATTAACAGTATTCTTTCAAGTGTTTTTTTTTTAAAGTACCACACCGTAGAAGATAAATATTTAAGACAATACAAACTCTGAATAACTTTTTGTCATCAACAATTCCTACCCTCTGAAAGGCAGAAAACTTTCAGGGGAAATAATTTTATGAGTCTAGTCTAGGTAGAGGAAATTAAAACGGTTAATTTCAGGCTCAACTAAATCTAACAGCAGCAGATCTGTGTGTTTTAATAGATCTGTGTGTTTAAACATGATCGGCCCTCATCACGTTGAAAGAGGGAAATTTAGTATTTGATGCAAACAGCAAAATGGCCTCAAAGGTAAAGTAAAGGTAAAGGGACCCCTAACCATTAGGTCCAGTCGTGGCTGACTCTGGGGTTGCAGCGCTCATCTCGCTTTATTGGCCAAGGGAGCCGGCGTACAGCTTCCGGGTCATGTGGCCAGCATGACTAAGCCGCTTCTGGCGAACCAGAGCAGCGCACGGAAACGCCGTTTACCTTCCTGCCAGAGTGGTACCTATTTATCTACTTGCACTTTGACGTGCTTTCAAACTGCTAGGTTAGCTGGAGCAGGGACCGAGCAACGGGAGCTCACCCTCTAGCGGGGATTCGAACCGCTGACCTTCTGATCAGCAAGTCCTAGGCTCTGTGGTTTAACCCACAGTGCCACCCGCCTCAAAGGTGGAAGGTACTAAACACACCCACAGCCATGACTTATTAATCATCCCATTTATTGCCTAGCTTTCCTCCAAGGAGCTGAAAATGGCAAAAGTGGTTCTCTCCCGCTACATTTGATCCACACGACAACCTTGTGAGGTAGGTTAATCCAGTGTTTCCCAATATTCCAAGGGAGCCACAGGTTTAAAATGCACGAGGCTATGGGGCCACAGAGGGAAGTGAGAAGTGAAGGGAAATATCTTTTTTTAAAAAAACTGATTGGCTGGCTATCTGCTTGGCCAATCACAAGCGGGAAAGGGGGCAGCACACCAGGGCCTAGCGCTCCTTTCTGCCACGTGAGCTTTTCTTGGTTTGTTTCCGGCAAGAGAGGGTGATCGCTGAGGCAGAGGCAGAGCCCGCAATCCAGAACGCCCAGGTCAGGTAAGTGCAGTGGTGGGGTGGCAA